AATTTCTTGATGACCTAATATAACACAATATCATGTTTAGCAGTTAAAAAGTTAGAGAAAAAACAACAGTCAGTCAAACAAACTATTTTGTAATATGTTCTTTTGACTGTGTGTTTTTGCATTAACTTCCATGAGTTCTTTTTTAGGCGTAACAAAGTGAATGAAATCATGTTTGACTGTAGATGTTTTTTCTTCACACTCATTTAGACTTTTATGGATTTCAATTAAAAAATTTGTGTAAAAATAGCATTTCATATCTATCTTTTGTCTGCTATAGGTCACTGCCTAGAGACCTTTTGTTAAATACTCAACTCATTAGCTGTGCAGCTGAATCTATGGCAGCTAAATGCTATTTGCTTGCATTAAAGAAAAATTTAATGCAATGGCACAAAATCCCAAAGCTAGTGAAATAATGATAACATAGTGTGGTGTATGGTCACAGTAAAGTTAGAGTTTATATTAACAGTTTCCTGTTTTAGTTGAGGATTTAAATAATAGGCCACTGTTTAGAATTGTTTGAACATATTCCCACCACATGATGTTCATTAGTATTCTTTTAAACATCTTTACTGTGAATAATTTCTTTCAATAAATAGAAATTAACTAACAATTGATAATGTTATACATGCAAATGAACATTGTTATATATATAATTTTTGCTTAAAAATAACGCCATCAGAACATACTCAATTGTTAAAGCATTATGATGCTGAAGTGATGTGTACTTTATCTACTGTTTAAAGGAAGGATCATTTTCATGAAGCAGCTGTAAACATCCTTATGTGGCAGTAAGAAATCAGAAACCTAGATGAAACTGTCACAAAAGGTGAAGTTGTAACACATAGAATACATCTTTCAATAAAAAGAAATTAACTAACAATTGATAATGTTATACATGCAAGTGAACATTGTTATATATAATTTTTTGCTTAAAAATATCGCCATCAGAACATACTCAATTGTTAAAGCATTATGATGCTGAAGTGATGCGTACTTTATGTACTGTTTAAAGGAAGGATCATTTTCATGAAGCAGCTCTAAACATCCTTATGTGGCAGTAAGAAATCAGAAGCCTAAATGAAACTGTCACAAAAGGTTTCACTATGTTTTCTATCATTTTCAATCATTAATACAGATGTATTCTAAATGAACCTATGAGAAGCACCATCTTTTCTGTACAGTGTTATCCTCACAATATTCTGCACAGTAACAGGTATTTTATTAAAAACACCATCTTATGTTGTTGAAAGTAAAAACTAAAAGAATGCTAAAAAAGCAAATAAGTTATGCAGTAAAATATGATTTTGAAATATTCTGTACTATGTCAAAACTTACCTGAATAAAACTAATTCCTCTCATTTTACCTCGTATAAAATTTTGTTCCCTCAAGGACAAGTAGATTTCAAAGATTTTACCATTTTAAATACAGAGTTTTTCTTTATGATTATCCTGTACCTATAAGAGTTGTTCAATGACTTTTGCATTGACTAAAAGTTACTCAGATAATTTTGTCAAAGTGAAAGATAGATAAAACTCTTTAAGCTCTTTTCTTTCACCAGAAGTGAGTGATATCTTGCCAAACGAAATGTCTATGTAGGGTTTTGAAGAATTAATAAAGTATTGCTACCTTCTTTCCTTTGCTGAATTCCTACAGTATACTATCATATCTAGGGATGAGAAAAAATGTATTAAAATTACTATTCATCATATAGTAACAAGCATTTAGTTTCAAGTATTTTATAATTTGAAAGAGACCATTCCATACACTGATAAACATTATAATCAAGATGGTTGTGTGATTCAATTCGACATTTATGTTCTGTGGTGTACTTTAATCAGCATTTCACATTTTGAAAAAACAATTGACACAGAAAAACTAAAACAAGTGTACTTTATTTTACAAAATTCAAAAGTATAAAAACTGTCATTACTGTTGCTTTCCTAGTCATCAAGATGATGATTTTGTTAGTTTGGTATTGTGTTTCCTTGTAGGGGAAAGAAGTTATTAAATAAAATTAGTGATCTATAAATGCAGGAAAAGAGAACTACATGGAATAAAGAGTTAATGTGCCGTGTTTACATTATTTCTTGCTTTTATAGTTCATACCATTACTTCCGATTTGAAAACTACCCAATCAGTGATTGAAATTTGATTTTTTTCTAATAGAAGGAACAGCTGGATACAGAAGAAGCTTGAAAAAGAATGTTTCCAATCCAGTTTCAGAAGAAGAACATTCTGTTATGTCATAAGAAGACTATGCAGATACTGTTACTGCATATCTATTACATTTTAGCTATTAATCTTACAAGCTGTGTTTTAAGGTGAAATTGAAATTAGTGAAAATTATACTAACGATGTACATTACATGTTACTCAAATCATGGAATTTTTGTTTTTAAGCTGAAATGTGATTTTTATATAAATAACACTTTTTTTCTGTATAGTTGGTGTGTAATTATGCAAAGTAAAAAATCAACTACAATATTTAGTTAGGAAATATGACACTGTTCACATTATTCCATGTACTTCATTATCTTTTGTGTTTGTTTAGTATTTTACAAAGATTCTCTGAATATTCTATGTTGACATCACCTGTTATCATTTTGGTTCATTTGATAATTACATTTACTGCTTCATGTTTTAAAAAAAAACTATTTTGTGTAGGAAATGAGAATGTAGTTTTCCCAGATAAACTGCAAATTTTATCAGCATTCATTGCATTTATTAAAAATAAAATTATTCATTTTTTAAATCTTTTTTTGCTATTGTGTGACATAAAAAAGTGTGAAGAATGTGATATCATAAATAAAAAAGAATCAATTTTTGATTATTGCAGGAACAGTGCTTTAAAGTATCAAAAATATATATAACAGCAAAAGAATCAGTAAATAAAACAATGACCTTTTCTTCATTTACCCACAAGTTCATCTGTTTTTTATCTCCATATCTATTTCACTCTTTTTCAATATTTCTGTTACCTGCTGTAATACTTTTTTTTTGTTGTCCAATATTTACTTGCTGTTTTAATGTATGTTACTTGTTCATATAATAGTCTTTAAGTTTAATTGTGCTTAAGTAACAGTATTGGTACATGAGAGGCTTAGAAATCTTTTTATATATATGGAAAGCAAAGTTTAATATTTAATACCTCCTGGTGGTCTAAAGTGCTTTTAGATATTTTTCTGATACAATCAGATTGATTAGATACAATCAAAATCAGATTGTTAGTTTGAAATCTGTATAACCTTTAGATGGCATTTTTGGGGTATCAGTTTATATTATTATCAAATTTTATGCATTTTTATGCCAAAAAATGTCAAACTATATAAATTTATTTTTTATAAGCTTTAAAGATGTGGCATCCCAGACTGTTCTTGTTTTTCATAGTTTATTAAAATCGTTAAGTGCACACAATTTTGCTAATATAGATTCATTCAGTCACAAGTTACCCTGGACATCGTGAAGTTTTTTAAGCAGCTTTATCTAATACCTACTACTGTCTTTACAGCTTGCTTTACTTTTATTCTGCTAAGCAAAGTAAGGATATAATGAACTTTCCCCATATTAGCATGTCCTTGGGCACTAATGCACTTCATTTTGTATGCATATGTTGCTTTGTTCAGTCATTTTATAGATATTTATTAACAGTGGGGCTACATAATTCTTCTATAAGAGGCATGTTTTACTCAAATAATCATAAAAAAATTAGATTTCTGAATTATTTTTGGCTTCTAGGGAAATAAAACTCGTGTCTTCTTTGGCCCATCTGGATTTCTGGTTCTTTGGGATACACATTAGAACCTTTTACCTTGTGCTACACAACAGTGTACTTCTCCATCTTGCTTCTGAGAGAGTTTCATATGTATAGGATTCCACTTGTACACTGTAACTAATTCTATAGGATTTTCTCTCTTAATTCCTAACTTTTCTTCAAACAACACTGATGTATGCAGAAGATAACTTAGAAGTGGTAAAGAAGTCATGCTGTCAGCTATTGATTATTTAACATCCTAAAATGATTTGTTTGCTATCACTTCCATGTAAAACTGTTCACAGTTTAATTACTGTGACCTATTTATTTCCTGAATTTTCACCCTAATTATCTACTACTTTTACTCATTAGAAAACTTGTATTAAACTTCTATTTCTAAGTTTTGTTGTGGTTACTAAATATTATTTTGTTTCAGATTGATATTTTTACAACAATTGTTACCGATACTTGTGGCCACTACTTGTCACATGAAAACATTATTACTACAATATGTTTTTTTTACTAGTGACATTTAATTTTTGCTCTTTCAATATTTATATGAAATTACGAATATTTTCATGACAGCATAGTCATAAATTTCTATTTTTTGTGGTTCTGTCTGCTATACTTTACTTAAAACTTTTGCCAGTTATATCTTTATATCAACCATGTTATCACTGCTACAGTTGATACACATCATCATCATTCAGTTTGGAAAGTTGTCGGTATTAGTGGACAAAGATCTTACTGTGCTTCTGAGACACAGATTTACTATGCAGTGTTATAGAGACACTTTGCAAGAATAATTATATATAAGAATTTATAATGTAGATGCGCATTTCTTCTAGTGCTTGTTAATGTTCATTACCACATTTCAAGGACTGTGCAGGACAACCTTGAACAAGAAACCATGAAGATGGTGCATGTCGTCTTGACCAAAGTCCAATAAATCATCTGTCAAACTTCTCTTGGACGTTGTAAAAGGTCGACATCTTAATCTACCATATGACGTCATTGAGTGTGTCGCTTGACTAATAAATTAAAATATAATAACAGTATAGTAACTCCACACAGTTCAGTGTGTTGTTAAAGTGGGCGATCTGTTACATGGTTGAACTTAAATACCTACGTTTGCTATCTTAAATGTATGACAAGTGGTTTCGCGCCAAAACTGATACATTCGAGTATTAACCTACATTAAATAAACGAACTCTCATAAATTTAGAAGTTAGAAACATCAGGAGAATAATTAGCACCCACATTTTTTGTGTGCCTAATAGCTATATTGTTTTTTACACATGAAGTTTGCAAACAAGTTATTATTCTTGTGGGTGCTAACTATTCTCCCGATGTGACTAACTTACACCTTGTGTTCAGTGTTATTTACTTTAACGTAAAAATGCACTGATTTAGTTCGGTTGAATAATCAAAGTATTACTTACTACCATATATCCTGCTGAATTGGAAATAGAAAATACATCAATATCTTGCACACAAACATATTACTTATATTTAAATATAAACAGTAGTTCTGTTGAATTAAATATTTTTTTTATAAACGTTAAGAATTAGATTTTGAAATTCATGATGAGCCGCATGTTCAGTATGCTTCAATGATAATCCACGAAGGATTATGGCTCGTAACTCGTTGCCGCAAAAACGTGCTTTCCACTTTGGGGCTGTTGGTGCATTGTAAGAGTGAGGGTCCAATCCCACTGTGTCCCGGCATGGCCAGGTGGTTAGGGCGCTCGACTTGCAATCTGCGGGTTCGAATCCCCGTCACACCAAACATGCTCGCCCTTTCAGCCC